AGTAAATTCTTATCGGTTGGGTTAAGTTATAAATCTACTCGTTATTCACGTAATCGAAATATCTAGTGGGCAGGCGGCTAACAGCCCAGAACCGGTCCTTGATAGAATTGGAATCCTTATATGTGTGCAGCTTTCACCCAAGGTCGTAGGCTTCCACCGGCTAAACCGGTTGAGGTTGGTGCTCTGTATAGAGCGTGCGCAAATCTGGCTTTTCGTAATCTGAAAATACAGAAAATTCCACTCCGCCACTAATATTCTAATATACAATAGCAATTTTTTTTCCACGTGTAGTATAGAAATTTGTAATAAGATACATAATGCGGTTATAATAAAATATTGTGTGATTATTTTCATATAATTAAAATTAATATTTATTTATTTTTAGAGAATACGAGGGAAGCGGCACTTCCAACGCTTCTAATGACGGCACGCCACTGATAGTTTTTAATATTAAGTACAATAAATCTGTATTTAAACTATTATATAACTTAGAATATTGAAATTTAATGTTAAAAAAAACTATCATACTCTTCTTACTGACTAATTTTTTTACTAAAATCATTATTATTTTTGGGCTGCAATTTGAAAAAAGTTGTAAACCTATAAATTCCTACTGTCATCTGTCTGTGTGTCTTTCCTTACTCTCAAGAACGCAGTTAGATGAAATCCGAGACCAGATAGGGAAACCTTAGGGACAGAAGGCCCAATTAACTATATAAGAACTTCTGATGCAAACTGGAAGTCACGTTATTTCAATTAAAAAATTTTCCGCTGAAAGGTGTTAGATGACTGGCACGACTATTGTTAAAGGAAAAGTATGATGTACAGGAGGCAAGACACTACTAATTTGAGGTGGCAAGCACATACTGTATTTTAAATTAAATAAATTTAAAATATGATTAAAAATTGCAGCCTGGCATTGGCATTGTGACAATGTCACAATAAATAATTGTTATTTTGATTTTAAAATTCATTTTAAAAATTTTCAAACCATATTTTAATGAAATCAACATTTTTACTTAATATAAAATTTTTTAATATGAACATTGTCAATAAAATTCATATTTTTTGTTTTAATTTTGTTTTGACTCTCTTTGCCTCGAGGCACCCAGAGGACATTTTTTTCATGCTGATCATCAGCTCAGCTTGTCTCACAATGGGGGCAATTGGATGACGAGGAATGGAACCCAACATATCCAGGACAAACTGCCTGTGAAAAATTGTTGGAACAAGGTCACCAAGTTTCGTTTCCAAGTCCCCAAAGTTGTAGGTGGACGTCATAGCTATCTGACCATCAAATAAATGGGTTATCAATGATCACATTTTAAATTTTTTTACCATTAAACGGAATATTAATATATTTCTAATAACAAGTAATGATAATTTTCCCACTTTTTTAAACAATGAAAATAACTGACTAGATTATCATCTAAAATAAGAAATTTGGTAGTGTAATCTATAAAATATGATTTTAAACAAAAACAAACTAGATAATAGCAAATTACACAATATTACAGAATTGCATAATTTGCTATTATTCACTTAACATGTTATTTAGCTATATAAATTGATTATTTATTATTATAAACATTGATTAACATTGAAATTTAATTTTGTTAACATTTAAAATATTTAATAAATAAATATTTAGGTTAATATATATATAGTAAGAAAGATTACATTTATTTTCTCCTCAGACATTGTAGATAAATTGTCTGCAATAAAGATCAAGTAATATATATCCTGTCTGTAAAGAAAGAAACAAAACGTTAAGTTTCATTACTAAACAATAAAAAATTTTAAATATATTACTTGTTTTAAAAATAAATTATTCATATTTCTATCCATTTTATTTTAAGTAAGCAATTAGAGTCAAACTGATTACTCAAAAACTATTCAGAAGAAATTTATTAAATATAAAATATTGCAATTTAAATAAAAGAAAAGTAATTAATGAATAATTCTACTCATTACTCTATAATATTTATTGATTACTGAACATATAAACAAAGTATTCAGATGAATAAAAACAATAACTAGGCATTATAAAAGAGCTTCTTGTGTCAAAAATTGTTGAAACTAATATCCCAAATACTATAATACAGGGGTGGCCAACTTTTGTGCACATAAGATCTACTTTTATCTTAAAAATGTGTAGCAATCAACTTGTTGTCGTAGGCATAGTCTAAGTGGCGAGGGGAGATGTGAAATACATACTATGTTTAGATAGGTAGGAAAAGCCACAATTTAATTTAAAACACGAAGAAAAGATACTTACATTTTAAACAGAAGAAAAATTGAAGCACACCGTTGTCACTTTTGGAGACCACCACTTCACCCTTCCTCTCTCTGCCGTGTACCGACCTACACTTTCTGTCCCTCTTCCAGCCTTTCTTATTTTCAGTTTTATGACCCTTTGTCTACATTTCTTATTCCCCTTTACACCTGTATGCAAATGGATTGCACATAGACTGACAAAACTGCATCTGAGAGAGGACGTGGAGGTCCGATATCACTACAGTTGCGTTTGCATGTTGCATTCAGTTACAAGTGTAACACATTAAGTCAAGACATCACAAGTGATCGACCAAAATTGGCTTCATGATCGACTTGTTGGCCACCCCTGCTATAGTAGATATAACAGAGATCACACTGCTGATGTTAATATCAAAATGACACTTCTATCATCAGAATGCAACTTTATTACTGGTATGCATTTCGGTACACAAGACCTTCATCAGCCATACATAAAAATATATAGGTATCCGTTGTAGAACAAATTTGCAGAGAAACTGACATTAATTACAATCTACAATCAAAACATTGCTGTTCAAGATTTATTTCCACCTACACTGCATGCTATGAGGATTACATTATAAACAGGTCTACAATATCTGAAAAGAAAATCTCTTGATAATCTTGATTATCAATAGGTATGTTTTAAATTGTAGATTGTAATTAATGTCAGTTTCTTTGTAAATTTGTTCTACAACAGATACCTATATATTTTTATGTATGGCTGATGAGAGTCTTGTGTACTGAAATGCATACCAGTAATGAAGTTGCATTCTGATGATAGAAGTGTCATTTTGATGTTAGCAGCAGCAGCATGATAAGTCTCTGTTATCTCTACTATAGTATTTGAGATATTTGTTTCAATAACTAAGCAATTCTTTCCAATTTTAATTCTATTTTCAATAATGATAATACTGTATATATAATATTATTATAAAATTCAATTATAAACTACAAGCTAATAAAACAATAATGCATATTTAAAATTATAAACTATTAAATAGTATGAACAAATTTATTAATTATCAATCAGATTTTTCTTCTAAAATATTACTTACTTTCAAAAAACTATTCTTAATGAATAATAATGCTAATATTAAAAAAGCACATGCACACAAACTATAAGCTATATAATCTTAGATTAGGTAAAAATAATTATTAAAATTAAAAGATTACAGCTAACTTTTATCTTCTAGAAATAATGTATAGATTTAGTATTTTAAGATACGTGAAAAAATTTGAAATTACTTCTCGTGAACCATAAACTTCAATACATGAAAAATAAACAAGATTAAATAAAAATTGGTATTATAATAACCCTTGCAACTCAAAAAGTTAATGTGCAGCAATAAAAATAAAGTAACAAATGTTTTTATTTTATTCCAATGGTGTATAGCTTATATGCATTTTCAATAAAATCAAAAATAAACTTCCCTATATACTTATCATTGTTTATGAATATTTTGATAAGCAAAAAACATGTAAACATATATTCTTATAACATGCCATTAGTGACAAAAAACAACTGCTAACATGTTTCATAGTTTATTACTTTTTGTATTTAACAATATGAATTAATCATAAATTGCATTTCGAGTTATAACTCTCTTCATCTTGCAATAACTAAAAATGTCTTTTTCATTTTTGTCAATGGTTCATCCAGGCTCACAGTGGGTGGCTGAATAAGCAAAATAAGTCCTGATAGAACGAAGTCAAATTTCCAAGGATGCAACACAGACTGTTGTAGAAGCATGATTCTGCCTCTTCAACATCGACCATCTCATAAATTCTATTAATACAGAATATTAATTTAAAATGACTTATTTTAAATTAATGAGGATTTATGATAAAAGCTATGTTAATTACATATTTTACCCATTAAATACACTGTTTCACAGGTACATTGAAATCACATTCATACACTGTATATATATATACAATACAAATAATGTATACTATTTTTATAACAATTGACAAATGTTCTATTTATTATTCATGTTACAGACTATAAATGTAATATAGGACTCATTTAAAACCAATTTTACAAGAAATAAAAGTTAGATAATTAATGATATTAAAATTCTATAAAATATTTACAAATTTTCACAGACATTTTTAATTTATATTACATATATATATATATTTTGTATACACATATGTCCAAAACTTAAGTACAAACAATTGTCAGCAGTGATAATTAGAAAAATTCACTGAGCAGTTGGTGACAATTTGCATAGATGTGTGGCGAACGCCGCCTTTCACATCTGTATCCTTAACGGTTGTAAAAGACAAGCAATTACCCCCGGGCATATGAGTCACCACTTCCTGGAATAAATTCGAACTCTCTACACAAAGACGGTCGAAAAACCAGTTGTCCTTTGTTAGCCGCGTCGTCGAGACATGTGCTGTACCTAGTACGCGAGAAGAACAATAAAAGTTTAGTTTTGTTACGATCTCGTCTCGTTCGTTTCTTCCACTCACAGCGACTAAGGATAAAAGCAACCACCACGCCAAAACCACAGATGTATGAATGAAACAGATGGCAAAAGTATATTCCATACTGGCAAGTCTCTCTGCCTGAGTGTTGATAAGCACTTTCCAATCATTCTCTACCCATGTCCAACTGATGTGTATATCTTTATTGCTTTGATTTGTACATTCCTATAAGCTGTTGTGTATTATCCTGTGTTAGATGTTGATTAATATGGTTTTTGCCATATTTGTCTGCTTACATCATAGTTCTATCTATTCATATACAAATGTCATCCATACTTAAGTTTTGGACAGTGTGTATATGTGATAAATACATGATAAATACATTTCATATATAATTCAAGTTCCATTAATAAACAATAAGACACTAATAGTTGAAGCTTTCAGAATCAAAGAAAGTTCTCTTTTGTCAAAAAAGAACTACTAAAATTCACACACAGTTTATTACAGACAACAAGAGATACCATTAAAACTAAACAAAAATAACAGATTTTATTAAAAATAAATTTAATAGAACAGAATACACTTGAAACATTTCAGTTTTTGTTTATTCTTAAAAAAATAATGCTTTATTGGAGCTAAAATAACTCTAACCTAGTACTTTTGTACTTCTTAAATCCATTTTCAGGAGATATAAACACAGAAAATTTAAATTCATTCAAATATAACATTCCAGAATGATTTCAAAACACAGATTTATTCTATGGAATAAAGTTGCTATGACTATTTTATCAAAAAAAAAAAAAATTGACAATATTATATAATTTTATTACAATTTTACAATTTATTACAATATTACAATTTACTATTAAAAAACATTCCCCCAAAAAAATCAAGCTTGGAAAAGGGCAGATTATCATATGAAAAATTATTTCATTGCTATTATTATTGAGAAAAAAAGAATGATGATAATACTGAACAGATGATCTGCAAAAATGTCACAATGATAAATAATCTCGAATAATAACAGAAATCTTTAATCACCAGCAATTTCTTGTAAACAAACATTTTGGCTTCTCTCAGTAGTCATCACCTGATTAGCATAAAAAAAACTATAGCTTTCTACAATATCTGCATGTACATTTTACAAATTTAACAAAACAAAGTAAATAGGATATGTAATATAAAAATTTATATAATCATATACATAGATTTTAAAGTAATTAATACAATACTCTCTCACTAATCCAAACTAATTATTGAACATTCAGATAACCACAGTCATTCAAATTAATGAGGTTATATGTATAAAAAAGGAAATTACAAGGACTACAAACAAATATATATTCAAAAAATTTTTATACGGTATTTGGTACATTTTTATCTGTTATACTTTAACAAGTATGTTATCTACTTATTATTTAGGAAGCAGTACTAATTGTCTTTGTGACACTGCCTATATCATAAATAAATAAATAAATATTTAGGTTAATATATATATAGTATATATTAATTTTACAAAGTTGTTGTGTTTTTAAAAAGTAATCTATTTCTTTTGGCCAGAACACTTTACAGAAAACAATAAAATTTATTTTAATTAGTAAAAATGTACTGTATAAGTTATATGTCTAATCTGAACATATTTAGAATATGAAATGTTATGAATCATACAATACATATTATGCATTAGTTAAGAAGTTCTCATTTTGTTCATTGTTGCCATATTTATTTATTTCTAGTATCTTAAGATATTTAGAATGATGTGAATTATGTATTTTTCTAATAATCTTGGCTTTATCCCATAGGATCATAATATCTTCTGTGTATTACTGGTAGTGCAAGAAGTTGCATTTATTAATGAATATTGGTATTACTGTAATTCTGTTGTTTGTATTCACTGGACAATAGATTAATGGAACAATGCCATTAATAAATGTATCTTCTGTACAGCATTATCTGCTTTTGCAGTGCAAGATAATGAAGTCCAATGGAATAACAACAAGATCATAAAAAATACAC